TGCAGAAGTGAAATAAAAAGTTAAGGTTTACATCCCTTACACAATAACTTAAAAGTACTAAACAAATATCACGGAATAAATTATCTGAAAGAAACACGAGAAATGAGAAAAACAAAATAAAATATAAGGTATCTAGTATTTACTCGCAGTCTTTTTGCGGATCGGGCTCGGAAATCAAGTCCTCTTGATTTGAAATAGTTAAATAAGGAATGAGCTACACTAGCCCAGTAAGAACATCACACTACATCACCGTCACAGAAGCAAAAGTTGGTAGAAAATCAAAACAACCAATGGAACAGTAGATTTAAACTAATACATTTATCTAAAATAAAACAATTTACCTTTTTTCTTACAATTGGGGAATTCATGAAGACAACCTATAAAGACAATAATATCATACAGATCATAATTTCATGTATAATCAACCATCACGGTACGTATTATAAATCCATATCCATTAACAATAGACGAACTCATAACCGTTACTCGTTTAACCAGCCTACTAGTATCTATGGGAATCCATAGGGGTGTCCCCACTACACGTGAACCCTTTTCCTTAATAGTCTTAATTATATAGCCGCCCCCATACCCCGTCCGGTATGAGGATGAAGCAGGTTGTCCCCATACCCCATTTGGTATGAGGACCAAATTACCAAGTCTCCATACCCCGTCCGGTATGAGACAATGTTCACAGTAAGGTTTCCTATGAACCTGGTCCGTCCACCATCTCCCAAGATATCTAGTGAGGCTGTCATCTTATCTGTTTATTACATCACACCCCTTTTCTGTTTTTCCTAAGTCTCTGTTACCAAATCAAACACAATCACATAACAATGAACATGCACCCGGTAATACAATCATATCTTAAATATCAAAATCACACAGTGGTCAAGTAAGCAGTGATACATGTATTTAAAATCATAGAATAGATAAACCAGATACCATAATGTATTTAAGCTGTAAAATAACAAACAGGAATTGCAGAGAATAATGTCTGGTTCGGGCTCCATTAGC